TTTTTCAAGATCGCAGTTTGTAAAAGGCCGAAATTTTGCGGAACCTAGCCTAGATCTCGTTCATAGTACTCTTCTGACATGTCCTACTCGTAATAGATCGACAAATATACAAAAAAAAAAGAAAAAAAAAAGGAAGTAGTCCTCTTTTATTTTTTATTTTATTTTTTATCTGTTGATTAGGGCCGGAGGAAAGTATTGTTGGGTTGGTTGCCTACCTACGTGTTCCCTCCCACCCACCCCTTTGCATGCATTTCCATGTTGGTACAGTGCCACGTCAGCAGTGACACGTCAGCAACGGTGACACGTCAATGCCACATCAGCAGTGCCACGTCAGCAAGGGTGCCATGTCAGTGCCACGTCAGCAGTGACACGTCAGCAATGGTGACACGTCAGTGCCACATCACAGTGCCACGTCAGCAACGGTGACACGTCAGTGCCACATCAGCAGTGACACGTCAGCAACGGTGCCACGTCATAGTGCCACATCAGCAGTGCCACGTCAGACACAGTGCCACGTAAGCAGTGCCACGTCAGTAGTGCCACGTCAGCAGTGCCACGTCAGCAGTGCCACGTCAGTAGTGTCACGTCAGCAGTGCCACATCAGCAGTGCCATAGTGCACGTCAGCAGTGCCCCGCCACCATGACGGGCTCAGTTCTGGGCATGCCAGGCCAACTGGCAAATGAGTCCATTACCGAGTACCGACAGCGGTTCCAAGCTCAGCTCGCCATGATCGAGGCTGAGGAACAGCCCCAGCTGGCAGCCGAGGCTGCCCGTCAACAGGCTGAAGCAGCGGCTCCAAGCCAAAGCTGAAGCAGATACCCAGGCACGCCGCAAGGAAGCCCAGGATCTGCTGCAGCGGCACGAAGTCGCCAGCATCGAAAGCTCAAGTTTCGGCATTTCGAATCATCAAGACCAACCGAGCTGCTGCACACGAGAAGACAGCGTGGCAGCTAGCCCATGTGGAGAAGGAAAATTTGGTCCGCGTCCGCAGCATGTTGCTGCAGTCCAACCGGACACCATTGTGGAAGACCCGGCAGCCACCCAAGCATCACGTGAGGAAGATCAGGTGGCCGCCGTCCAGCCGCGAAGCAACAACAACTCCCGAGAAAAGGGAAGGCGAAAACGGCATCGCCGGCCGGAAACAGACAGCCAGCAAACTGAGTTCCGGGGGAGGTGAGGCGACTCTACTTCCACCCCGCCAGATTCGGCCGCCTTGCTAGCGGCCTCCGACACATCTGGGGAGGATGCGAATGTCGYAAGTCCTCGGAATACTTACGAGGACTATGTTGTCCACTTGGTCCCACCGCTGGACCAACCGCTCCACGTGCAACAATCCATCGCATGCACGGTTTCATCACCATCGGCAAYCGATTCGGCAGCTTCGCCGCAATTTATCGTCGGGGATTCATCGTCATGGTCAAGACTTGAGGTGCTCGACCCACCGACGTTCACGGACTTCCAGTGGATGCCCGTTCCCCCGACCGGACGATTGCCGAAACCGCATTGCAATGTGCTCATGGCACAACTGTGGGATTACTTGCACACTGCAGTACCGACTCCGTTGATGGACGCAAGACGCAACGGTACGACGACATCGATGCACCATTGCTATATGTACGCATTCAGATCGGAGAGGCGACCTGCAACGCTTTGATCGATTGCGGAAGCACTCGCAACTATATGGGCCACAAATTTCCGGTGCGCAATGGCTTTGGGCCACGCGTTCGGAGGAAGTCGCAGCCCACGCAAGTCACGTTGGTCGACGGTCACACGCACAAGTCAATCGACAGGTGCATTTGACCCCGTCCTCGTGTACTTCGCCCCGCATGTACGCAAGGCAGTGTCCTTCGACATTTTGGACACGGAGTTCGCAGATTTGCAACCATCGGCATCGCTGATCTACGATGGCTACGTACGACGAAGACCAGCTAAGGAAGCTTCGCAAAACCTGCCCTCCCACCGGGACTGTGGTCCCTCCCTCAGACAGACAGCTTCGCCCTCGCAGGTAAGCTCGGTCTTTCAAGTAGGGGGGGGGGTGGCATACTGCGTAGCCACACGGGCCCTGCAGGGCCCGTCCTGCACTCTCAGCCTAAAAGCCTAGAAACAAGGGCTTAACAGGCCCTGTGTCCATGTCAGCCTGACAGCCTGAAAACCAGGGCCTACAGGCCCCGTGGCTGTTTTAGCCTGACGGCCTGAAAACCAGGGCCTATAGGCCCCGTGGCTGTTTCAGCTTGACAGCCTGAAAACCAGGACCTACAGGCCCTGTGTCTGTTTCAGCCTGACAGCCTGAAAACCAAGGCCTACAGGCCCCGTGTCATTTCAGCCTGACAGCCTGAAAACAAGGGCCTATAGCCCCTCAGGCTTTAGCCAGAAGCTACCTGGAAACTTCCCGGAAGCTTCCTCAGGCTTTAGCCAGAAGCTACCTGGGAACCTTCCAGAAGCTTCCTCAGGGTCTAGCATGTTTGGGCATTGGCAAGAGCAGCCTCCTGGACGGGCCAGCACTATATAAGACTGGCCCGCCCTACAGACAGGAGGTAGTTTTCAGTAGGCACGAGTAGTCTTCAGGAATTCGGCCGCAGCACTCAGGAGGAGCGCTGCAGTAGTCTTCARCGCTAGTAGTAGTTAGCGCTAGTGGTAGTCTTCGGCGCTGGGCGCCCATAGCCTTAGTGGTAGTCTTCAGCGCTGGGCGCTAGGGTAGGTGGTAGATCGTAGAGTGGGAGAGATATTGGCGGAGGCCAGTTGTACTTACCTGTGGCGCCATCGCTCCAGCTCCATCTTC